GGGGTTTCCAAAATATAACAAAGGGTTACTTTGGGTGATTCAGCGAAACGGGTTCAGTCACAGGCTTCTGGGCTGACTTAGGGTTGACCCGCAAGTTAGTTACCTACAAAACATTCAGGAAAATAAAGTGAGCAGGGCTCAATGAATGATAGTAGTACAAAATAAAAATAACGAACATAACAACGCATATTAACCAATCATAATCCCACTCGTTTTTCCTTTTTCAGAACGACCTCAGGCTCATGTAAAATAGAACGGTTTCAGGCCCAATAGAATCCAAAACGGCCTTAGGCCCATCATAATACAGAACGGCCTTGGACCCATCACATTACAGAACGGCCTTAGGCCCATCATAGTAGCAGAATGGCCTTAGGCTCATTAGATTAGCAACAGAACGACCTCGGGTCCATGTCTCGTATATCAAAGTACAATGTATATCAAACATATCACTAATAAATTAAGGTACTCACAAGAGTCCATAAGATCTCAAATGATATACCAACACAAAATGTGACTAAAGTATGATATTACGCTACTATCACTCACAGTGATACGAGTGATCGATGGTCCCCTCTTGTAGATGCCCTACACATAACACACACGTGTAAGTATAAGTATAAGGTGTAAGTGTAAGGTGTAAGGTGTAAGTGGGTTGCACATGGTGTGCAACCTCAAAAAAGGTGTAAGTGTAAGGTTTAATTTTTTACAAAAGGTGTAAGTGTAAGGTGTAAATGTAAGGTATAAAGTGTAAGGTGTAAGTTGCACACCATAACCAAACCCATACAAAATTAATAAAAATTTTAAATAAAATGACAAAATTGAAATTAAACTTGAAAGTGACTAGTGTCTAAATTAATTTTAACTTTTAATTTAGACGAAATAATTAAATTGAAATTAGATTTAAAATGTAGAAATTAAATTATTTAAATTAAAACTATAAGAATTAAAGTAAAATTTGAATCAAAATATAAGGCTGAAAAATGTAATTAATCTTAAAAACTTTATATAATACTTATATATTAATATGGAACCATACACCCATTAAAGATTGGGTAAAATTTGTAATAACTTTTTAAAAATATTTAATATTTTTGAATAATTATTCAACTTCATATTAGTAATATAATAATGTGACAAATTTATTAATTTATGTAAGTTATGAAATCTACATAAATCAATTAATAATTTGAATAAATTTAAACATTATAAAATGTAGGAAAAATATCACATAGTATTTGAAAAAGTAATTACAAATCAGTAAAAAATTATATAAATATTAATAATCAAATTTATATATTTTTTCATGGATTTGTATTTTTTTTTTTTTTTTTCGTCTTCCACTTGGGCCCATTGCGATGTTTGCTCTATTAGGCCCAAGTAGCTGGCCCATTTGGTGTGAGCGGGTTTGTGGGCGATTTTCGAGTAGGGTACGATGCCCTACACTAGTAGCACACTGGACTTATGGTGGTGACTTGTAATTTGGGTTAAAAATGGCTATGTAAAGGCTTTTAGACCAATGTTGAGCATCATCATCAAAGAAAATTATAAAAAAAAAAAAATTACATAATATTTATGAGCATGGGATGGGGAATGTAAAATTCTTAATAGATTTTTGGAACAATTACAAAATAAACACTGGAGTTTGAATCTTCTAATAAAATAAATTCTTAATTTTTAATTTTATCAATTTAAATTCTAATTTTTTGATTTATTTTCAATTTAAACCATTAAACTATTTTTGTCAAATAAAATTGATAAGAAAAGTATTTTAGTTATGAAATTCAATATAGATATGCATAAAATATCTAAAATACTAGTTTTCATTAAGTTAATGATTAAAATACTCATTTGTGTTTTTATTGATTTTACCTAACGAAAATTTGCAAATGGCTTGGATTGAAAATAAATAAAAAATTTAGGGTTTAAATTAAAAAAATTAAAAACTCAAGGTTTATTTTATTAGAAGGGTCAAACTTCGGGATTTTTTTTATAATTTCCACTAGATTTTTTTAAAGGACTACTATTAGCACATATCTAATTTCTTTGGACCCCCAATTCTCACTTTTTTTTTTTACAATTATGCCCTGAAGTAAAATTACATTAAATGACAATTTTTAATAGAACATACACCCACGAAATAAAGATAACTCTGCAATATTATACACTCACCTCCCCCACCTAAACCCACCGTGTTTCTCTACATCAACGTTCATCTTCATTACTATCCTAAACCCTACATGTATTTCTTTCATTACAATCCTAAACCCTAAACCAGAAATCAATGGTTAAATTAGAATGGATGTCTGTTATTTTGTTTGTTATATTGAATCGGAATAGAAAAGAGTGAATTGAGGGTTAAGTTACACAATGCTAAACAAATGATGTTCAACAACACAGTGTTAAAAAAATTATTTATGTTTGGCAACATAGTGTTGAACAAATGTTGTTCGGTAACACATTGCTAAACAAATAATTTTTGTTCGGCAACACAGTACTGACAAAATTGTTTACGTTCGGCAACACAATGCTGAACCAACCCTTGGGCTGTCGACCAATTGGATGACCGGTGATGTGATTTTGGCTCAATTTTACAGCAATAATGCAATGGTTTTGATAAAAAGGACACCGTCATTCACTGATTTCAAATAAATCAAAGAGAGGGACTGTCATCGTCATTATTCTTCAACTAGAGAAAGAATGAGATGGACCGTCTTCAACCACGATAGAGAGGGGTGTGCAAAATTAGGTATATGTGCACTTGGTATGATGATATTATGAATAGGGATAACTTTGGTATTAGATGAGATGTTTAAAAAAATCTTATTGAAATTTAAGGCTTAGGGTGGGGGTTCAAAGAAATAAGAGGTCTAAAAAATTAAGGTAGATACTAATAACAACTCTCTTTTTTTTTATTTTTTATTTTTTTTCACGTCTATCTTTTCATATTTTTTGTTTATAATTTTACTTATAAAATATTGTTTTTTTTTTCTTTATTTCTAACCTCCAAAAACCTTAATTCTGACCTTAACTCATCCCCGCATCTACCTCTGTCCCCATCTTCGATCCCTTCCTTATCCATTGTCATCTCTGACCACCCTCATAGCTCATCCTTAGCCTTTCTTTACTCTCGTTCACCCCTTTCTAGCTGCTCTTGCCACTCCTTACCTCTCTTTCTCTCTCTCTCTCTCTCTCTCTCTTTGAGGAAAGGATTAGAGGCCGCAAAAGGAGAGTCATCGGAGGTAGAGGGTGACTAAGAAATGGAGCTACACGAGAGAGGAAATGCTACCAAAGAAAGAGGGAGGCTGGTGTCGGGTTCAAAGAAGAATGTGTATGATTGGGATTATGATGGGTATTTAAAGGAAAAATGATAGAGATCAATTTTGATGAGTGGAAGTCTAAAGCGAAGGATCTAATGTAATATGATGGGACAAATAGCAGCACTCAAGGCTTTAACCCGATTGGATTTGTCATACCATTGTCCCCAATCAAAAAAATAAAAATAAAAATAAAAAATGTAAAAGAGAAAATTACATACAAGCCCATGGAATTTATAAAAAATACAGGTCCTTAATTTAGTTTGAGAAATTTCAAATACCCTCTGTATGGTTTTTAACAAAATCGTAGAGGTAGAATTTTTATTTATAGAAAATATTAACCAATACACTGACTCAAAATCAAAGTCTTTATATAACCAGAAAAATTGATATAAATACTTAAAAATGATAGGTATAGATTTATTAATTTTTTCATAATTCTTATGTAATTAATTAATATTTTTCAACAGCTTATACATATATTTATAATTATTACACCTACATCATGCCCTAAACAAAATTTTCAGCTTCGAATCATGAGAACACAAATTGAGGCCTAATTATTACATTTGTTAACCCTAACCACAATCTTGCCTTCGAGGCCTACCCCTAGTGCATAGATCCAATGAATGTTCATTGTGTTTTAATGCCATCTTAATCCAACATATAGAAAATGTCATGTCAATGGGCTTCTAGGCCGGTGGCATCTCCCCACCTCATATGCAAGGGAGGTCGAGCATTCGACGCATTAGAGACGAGATTGGGTGGCACTGACAGTGCTCATTTAGCTTATATTTGTACAACCTACCACCCATTAGCTGCTGAGTGGACTAGATATATAAACTGCATTTGGAATCCTCAAAAAAGAAAATGTCATGCTAGTCAACTAACATCAATCCAATATGGCACTCTAGTTTCAAATTCGCTAGAGAATTCAGATGGCATACCATTGCAGTTTAACATGGGGAACTGAAATCAAACGTCCCATTTTAAAGTCTGAAAATTAGGGCGCCATTGAATAAAGTTACTACAATCAGAATGCTAGAAAAAAAGTATTTCTGATCACAATAAATTCAAGATGGAATGCTACTAATCAAAGCCGAGTTCCACAATGCTGGTAGTATACAATACATAGTAGAGTCCAAGTTGTCAGTACCTTCATTGCTGATCTAACAGTTTCACCAAGATGGAAGAAAGCATGAAAACTGGTGCAAAATCATATCGGGTAGGAAATTACGTGCTGCATATCAGTAATCAGCTTATGAGTTTTCTCAACGTCGCTTCAGCTTGCTGCTCAAATTTTGGTAGGGCCCATTCATGCTGAATTATGTCAAGACCGTCTTTCTCAGCACCCAAACTCTGAAATGAATAACACAAAAGGTAAGTAAGGATCCATTCATGATTCAAAGTCTTGTAACGAACCAACCTATATCCCATTTAATTATCCAAAAGGTGACACAAAGCTGAGGTTAACAAAATACTATTGAACCATATTCTGTGTCTAGATAACAAATTGTACACAAAATAAACTACTCTCCCCACATTCCATAGAAAAATATCAATTGTTAATACCATTTTGCAACATTGACCTAAACCTCTGAGTCAGTGGAAAAGGTATCTTGGCTGGAGAGAGAAAAAGTGAGTCATCATATTGTTAAAATTATGTTCAATAGCAGAAATAAAAAACTGAACTGCTACAAATCCGGAAAAGAAAAAGTTAACCCAGGCAAAAGTAAGAGTCTGACAAACAAAAGCAATAAGAAATAAATAAAACGGTCATATCCCAATGCCAAAAATTGAATCAGAAAACAACAAAAATTGAAAAAAAGGTGATAAACTACACAAAAAATGCAATACCTGGGGTATGATCATTGAAAGATTTTTCTTCATCATATCCATGGCCATGTTTGGATCAGAAAACATTTGTGCCTGTGCATTCTGAGCCTGGCCATTGGGGACAAAAAGTAACCCATTTTCCTGCAATGTAACATCAATACATATTTCGATGATATTAGAATAACAGCAGTAAGCTACAAATGTTTTGTACTACAAGCTATGAAGCACAGACACCACTTTGGAGATCATATACCCGTGTGTGACATGTGTGGGTCACACTAGAAGAATGGAGGACATGTTACACACTAGGGACACATTATATCCTTTATTTTATTTTATTTTTTTTCAACGGAGTAGCATACTCCAAGTTGATAAATTTGATGAGAATAATTATTTGACCTCGAATAAACAAATGCTATTAAAAAATATGACACAATAAATATATAAAATCATATGTTTTGCAGTGCCCCTCGTGTGTTGTGTCCCATATTTTCTGAAAATTTGCGTGTTTGGAGACATGTTGTGTTTTTGTCGAGTCACATGTCCGTGCTTCTTAGGCTACAAGCTAGTCACTAAATGAACTCCCTGACCCTACTAACATATACCACCTCAAACATTAAGCATTTTGACTTTGCTAGGATTTTCAAACTCTAAACTTATGGCATGTTTTGTCATCCCAGGATTGAGTGGCTCAACTGAATTTTACATGGCCTTGTTTTTTTTCATCAGCTGAATTTTAAATGGACTTTGGCATTACAAATCCTTTAACTAGAATGAAGTCAGCAAGAACTGATGGCAAAAAATTGATTTTACGAATTCACAAAGTTGCAGTGCTCACTTTCTCACTAATCTTTGCATCAGTAGCTGATATTCTTCACAAAAACTGTGGCAATTAAATTTCTAGGGACGTCAAGACTCATCCCTTGTAACATGCACTATCAAACTAATACTAATAACTAAGAATAAAAAGTTCCATGACTCATATACCTTCCTACAGGGAATAGTGACATGTAGGCTGACGTGAAAAACATTGTGAGGGAGAACATGAGGTCAAGCACAATTTGACAGAATCAGCATGTTGCTGGATGCCACAAGCATAGTTCCCTTCACCTCTTTATCTCCCCACACAGCAAAATTTTCAGTGCAGAAAAATTAGATAAGATAATTCCCTATTGCTAGGGCTAGTAAATAAAGCAACAGGGTAACATTTGGTTCATTGTTTACTAAGAAGCACCGACACATCAAAATAGGTGTTGTAGCCATGTTAGACGTGTATAGGACACACACAATGGGGACATGTATGTGACATGCTATGTGGCGTGATTATTTTTTTGGTTATCATTTTTTTTCAGGGGACACATGGACATGGCAGTGTCTTATTTTAATTTTTTAAACCTGATTTTGAGGTCATATTATAATATTTGAAAACATAGGGGTTGAATTTAAAAGAAAAAAAGTACAGAACTCATATCAAACCATCGATATCTAACCACAAATGTAAATTTGATAGATTGACTTTTAATGATCCTTGGACCATAACACAACACAAACATAATCTCTGGATGACTTAAATTTGCTTTTTTTTAAAAGTAAATTAGAGTTAGTTTTCATTAATTTTGATTGTTTATAAATGTCATATTTATATAAATAGAAAATAAAAATATACATACAAAAAAATATTTGATACATCCCACCATGCATCAAATTTAGCCTTCTACACTATTTGCAATCAGTCGATCAATCTACAACCCGGCTGAATTAGCTTCATAAATAATGATTAAGTAGACATCACGAAACAAGTGCATACAATCTATATGCAGTGTCCAGTACTCCGCAGAGGATTCTATAGACTACATAGCCTTCACCCAAAAAGTAGAGTAATAAGTTTTAATGGGTTACGTAAATGAAACTTTGGGCATCATAACACATCTTATTCTCAAAGACTTGATTGAGAGACTCATTGTGAATTCCGATTAATACTAAAAGAGCACATAAATTACCACAAGCAGATATATATATATATATATATATAAAAGTCAGTCCCCTCTCTCTCTTTCTCAGTTTCATAACTTACAACCTCAAACTTGAGTTTTATAGATCACACATGATGATTTCAAAAGCTAGCCATTGATGCAGCAACATCACTGCCACTTTTAATGCAATTTAGATTCAGTGGTGTGGGGATGTATTTTCTGAATAGCAACACGTGGCAAGGTGACGCCGACGTGTCAGCCGAGGTGCCACGTGTCCTGATTGTGACGCCGAGGTTATCTCGGCAAGGCCGAGGTTATCTCCGAAGATATCGGAATCCGAGATAAACGGACAAGGGGCAAGAGTCCTAGAGTAAAGAGGGAACTTTGCTAAGATAAGGATAAAGCTCTTAAGGAGTTTATCTTTATCTCTTGTGAAATCCAAAGTAAGCACTGAATGGGAGTCCATAGAAGTCAGGCTTCTAGTGGGACTAGGTTTGTGTTGGCTATAAAAGAGAGGCAACCCCATAGGTCAAAGGTATGCTTTTTATGCTTAAGCTTGTGAGTTTAGCATTTAGCACTTGATTATCTTTGAGAGAATTACTGACTTGATTGTCAGAGTGCCCCCGGGTGGTTGAACCACCGCCGGAGACTTCTCTTTCTGTTGCAGGTTAGCTAGAGGTCATCTATTCTGCCAGTGCTTTTCCAACTGATTACTAGGCGGACAGTGTGATCGGAAAATCACTCACACAATTTGGCGCCGTCTGTGGGAAAGATAGGAGAATAAATGGCCAGCAACGGACAGAAGGAAAAGATTGGGGACGACACTCCTACTGGGAGTAGGAGACCCATTGACCTTGATGTCACAGGAGACGAATACAACGCAGAAACTCGTGACCAGAATACCGGCGTAAAGGACGTCGGCCAGACTAACAAACCAGATTGAAGTGGCTACTACAATGAAGATGACCTCCAGGTATGGAAGGATAGATGCCTGCGGAGGGACGAAGAGGTGAAAGAGATGGCAAACAAGTTGGCAGACCTGCAATGGATCGTCCACTTTATGATGCAAAATAACGTCATGCAGCCACCATACCTACTGCAGGACACGCCGATGCCAGCAGCCAATACCCAGAAGCAAGGGCAGAAAGCAATTCCAGAAGCCCCCCAGCACAACGGGAGCGAAAGACATTCTCACCGACCTTCTAGGGAGGTCGAACGAAGGGAGCCAAGATGAGAAGAATCACGAAGGACGTAACACGCAAAGGAGGCAGACCCCAGAGGACATCGGCATGTTCAGGGGCAGGCACTGTGCTTCGACACAACTCATGGAGAAGGGTTGAAAAGGGCTCACCACGAGGCCGAGAGTAGTATACCGAAGAGACTGAAGTCGAAAGATAGCAGAGCTCCTGGGCGGAGCAAAGAAGACTTAAGAGATTACCTCAAGAGGAAGCAGCAAAATGCCGAAGCCGAGGTAACATCCCCAGATAAGCCGAGGACATCATTCTCGGTGGAATTGGAAAGGTTCGAGGCACCAAAGAGATTCAGTATGCCGAGGTTTCAAATATACGACGGCAAGTCAGACCCCAACTTCCACGTCGGACTATATTTGAACTCAATGGCATTGTATAGTGGGAACGAGCCGTTGCTCTGCAAAGTAATCCCCTCATCCTTCGGGGAGATTGCATCAGATTGGTTCCATAAACTACCGAAGGGAAGCATGAAGACTTGGGAAGGCCTGGCCGAGATGTTTGTGGCCCGGTTCGTGACAAATAAGCTACAGCCATTAAGGGTGGACGCATTGATGGCCTTGAGGATCAGTAAGGATGAAGGCCTTAGGGCCTATGCAAAAAGATACTATGAGGTATTCAACCGAATACTAGAATGTAATCAAGAAGTAGCGGTCATATCATTCAAGAATGGCCTAAAAGACAATTGTCCGCTACGGAAATCTTTGGCAAAAACTTTGCCAAAAATCACGGAAGAGCTCATGGCAAGAATCGAGAAGTATGCCAGAGCCGAAGAAGACACATCGGCGAATAGGGAGATAAAACAGGAGAAAGGGAACAGCTCGCCGAAGCGAGGCCGAGGTAACAATGGAACGAGCAGGCAAGAGACAGAACTAAGGGCCACACAAGCAGTAACAACCGTGTTCCGGATCCTAATTCCCAAAGTCCTGGATCAAATTCAAAACTAGCCCTATTTCAGAATGCCAGAAAGGACTCTAGGAGAGTTCATGGGAAGAAACATTGGTAGGCATTGTGCCTACCATAATGCAGATGAACATATGACTCAGGATTGCAGAGCCCTCAAAACATATTTGGAAGACTTGGTAAGACAAGGACATCTGAGAGACCTTGTTGATGAAACTAGAACAAGGGAAGAACGGGCGAGATTGCCTCAAGCACCGGCAGCCCCACCTCCCCCAGCACAACAGCCACAGGCAGGAGGACCTCGGGTAATCAACGTAATCCACTTAAAGGTCAACGAAAATGAAATCCGAGGAGAAACCCAGAAGGTAAAACACCTACAACATGTCTATCAAGTCGGAGAGAAAAGACATCGGGCAGAACAGTACCAGGGACCGATGATAACCTTCACTGAAGCCGACCTAGGGATGGTCCAGCACCCGTATAATGATGCCTTGGTAGTATCCCTCCAGGTTGCGGAGTGCCAAGTGAAACGTATCCTGATTGACCAAGGAAGCTCTTGTGACATCATGTACATCCGATGTTATAAGGAGCTCGGCCTTCACCCATATGACATGGAACGATCCAACGGCCCAATGGTCGGGTTCAATGGAACGCCGACATAGCCACTGGGAGCAGTAAGCTTGGAGGTGCAGGCTGGCACCAGGAAAATCAAGACAGAATTCACCGTCATCGACACACCCTCCCCTTACAACATCATCTTGGGAAGACCATGGTTGCATGCAATGGGGGCAGTTCCCTCAACATTGCATCAATTGTTGCGATTCCTAACAGAGCATGGGATAGAAGAAGTCAGGGGTGGTCAGTTGTAGGCAAAAAGTTGCTCCATGGCAGCAATGAAGTCTACTTGCAGCGTTCGAGAGCCAGAGAAGGCAGAAATTGAAGAAGATGACGTGGAAGTCCTAGAAGACGTCGGCAAGGAGCCAGCCGAGAAGAGCGAAGAGGCACTAAAGAAAATCCTCATCCAGGATGGGGATGAAGAACTTTTGTGCAAATTTCAAGATCAAGAACTACTTCTCAACACCAAGTTTTCCCCAAAGCAATGAGCAAGCAGAGGCATCCAACATAGTAATCTTGGATGAAATAAAGAAGAGGCTGCAGGCAGCAAAAGGAAAATGGGTAGACGAACTGCCCAATGTACTCTGGGCATATCGGACTACACCGAGAAGATCAACTGGGGAAACCCCTTTGCCATGGCTTATGGCATAGAAGCAGTCATTCCACTGAAGATCGGCATCCCTGGAATTAGAACCCAAGGGGTAGAAAACGGAACTAATGATGTTCTCTTAGCCCGAGAGCTAGATCTTCTGGAAGAACGAAGGGAGAAAGCTGCAGTTCAGCTTGCAGCATACCAACAACAAGTTGCCAGAGCATACAACAAGAAGGTCATCCAAGAGAATTTCAAAGTGGTGACCTCATCCTAAGGAAAGTTGTCGACAACAAGAAGGATCCTAGAGAGGGCAAGCTTGGCCCAAATTAGGAAGGACCCTACAAGATCATCTCGGTACTGGGAAATGTGGCATACCGGCTTGAAGATAAAGAGGGCAAAGAATTGCCAAGATCTTGGAACACTTGTAATTTGAAATTTTTCTATCATTAAAATTCCTTTGTTCCTTGGCCATTTGTCGAAATTAATAAAAAAAGATTCAGTTTTGTTTTCAAGATACTTGACATTGTCTCTGGAATACATGTATAATGCGAACCCAAGTGAAACTCAGGCTCACATTAGGGGGCAGAGGGAAGAGAAAAGTATTGCTTGACACTTGTTGAAATTTGTGGACAATTTACAAGTTAAGTTAAGCCGAGATCATTGTTTAACACTTGTTAAAATTTGTGGAAAATTTACAAGTTGGTTAAACCGAAAAGTATTGCTTAACACTTGTTGAACTTTGTGGACAATTTACAAGTTAAGTTAAGCCGAGATCATTGTTTAACACTTGTTGAAATTTGTGAATAATTTACAAGTTGGTTAAACCGAAAAGTATTGCTTAACACTTGTTGAAATTTGTGGACAATTTACAAGTTAAGTTAAGCCGAGATCATTGCGTAACACTTGTTGAAATTTGTGGACAATTTACAAATTGGTTAAACTGAAAAGTATTGCGTAACACTTGTTGAAATTTGTGGACAATTTACAAATTGGTTAAACTGAAAAGTATTGCGTAACACTTGTTGAAATTTGTGGACAATTTACAAGTTAAAGTTAAGCCAAAGACATTGTTTAACACTTGTTGAAATTTGTGGACAATTTACAAGTTAAAGTTAAGCCAAAGACATTGTTTAACACTTGTTGAAATTTGTGGACAATTTACAAGTTAAAGTTAAGCCAAAGACATTGTTTAACACTTGTTGAAATTTGTGGACAATTTACAAGTTAAAGTTAAGCCAAAGACATTGTTTAACACTTGTTGAAATTATATGTTTATCCTTGTTGAAACTTATAAGCAATTTATAGGACAAATACTTGCCGAGATATATTATCGGGTGGCATAACCGAGGTGTATTATCCCGAGAAGATTGCACAAAGAAGAAAGAATATATACGATATATGCAGAATATTCTAAGTATAGAATCATACGAAGACAAAGAAGAAAAGACAGGAGTACAAGCATTCAATAAAAGAGAAAAATTGTATTAACATTCCATGTAAAAAGGGGGGCACATCGGCCATACAAAGAACATACATCCTTCCCTAAAAAAAAATAGAGAAGAAGCAAGAAGATACTAGTAAAAAGAAGACTTAGAACTAAGGCTCCTCTCCGCCAGATTGTTGAATTTGAGGATCAGATACCACCTCGGCCTCCTTCTCTGCCGCTATCTTGGCGTCAATTTCTTGGAGAGTTTCTTCAACAGTCTTGACCTCAGAAGGGATGTCGGCTGGTGCGATGTCGGGAACAGCTTCTTGGACAACCTCATCGCCTTCTTCATCATAAGTCAAGTCTAGGACTTGCTTATTCTGAA